TCAATTCTTCTAACCATCTTCTTACCCTTTGTTTTCTTTTTCTAGCACATCTAGACATGAAGCTGGACAGTTTTTGGAATATTGGAGTTAGGACAGATAACTATGCTACAGCATAGTGTTTCAGGCCATCAACAGTGGAACAGGGCCTAACTTTCTCCTTAAATATTTTGGAGATGCTTCCTTCTCCGGAGCCCTTAAGTTTGGTGTTCAGAACACAAGGAGAGCCTGTAGTCTATAGTTAGAACCACAGAATTTTAGTATGGAAGAACCTATGTGGGTGCTAGCCCTCAGCAGGAGGTTAGACTACATAGGCATACCATACCACATTCAGGGCAAAGAGAAACAAAATGTAAGCCTGGTTAACAAAGAGAAGGATGCCTTTAGAAGACCAAGGGAAGTGCCATCACAATCCACTGTGAAAGAGGGAGTTAGGTGAAGAATACAGGGGCTTAGCTTTAAAACTGTAGAATGGGTACAAAGGGAGCTTCAGATGGGGACAACCTCAAGCCCATCACCTTCTCTCAATCTGTATATACCAAGTAGGTGGATTTTATCTCTTAATCTCTCAAGTCTATGTATTCTTTTCCATCTTCACCACTACCCTAACATTCAGGCAACCAACTCCAGACTCACCGACACTCTGGCCCCTTCTATTCTCTTCTCCACCTGACACAAGGTTGTTTTTCAAACAAAAATCAGATCATGATTCTCTTCACTGGACTCCTATTACTCTTGGGATAAAAACCGAAGTCCTTAACATGGCATGATCTTAGCCCTGCTAACTTCTCTAGCTCACTCTGTACCACTCTCTCTGCCTCCCTCATTTCTCTGCTCCAGATCTACTGGTCTTCCCTCAGTTCCTCAAAAGTACCATGTGCTCTCTTGCCCCAGGATGTTTGCACAGGCTGTTCCATTTAGAACCTTCTCCCTGCCTCTCTTTTCCTAGTTAACTCTTATAGTTTCTTCAGAGCTCAGTCCAAGTGTCACTTCCTTCCTTTTCTGATGTCTCAGTCTAAGTTTTGTTCCTCACCAAATACATAGAGAACCACCATGTTCCTTCTCTTCAGTGCCCTCTTCTCAGATTACAATTACGGCCAACAGTCATTAGTGCATTTATGAGGTTGTTTGTGTCCATCACTAGACTATGAATAGTTTCTGCCTACCATTAATTCCTAGCATTTAGCACACTGCATGGCACACAGCAGTGATTCAGTAAATATTTGTCAAATGTATGAATAAGTTGCCCAAGGGAATCCACAACAAACAAAAATAAAAAACAAGATCTCCCCTGGGAAAATGAAATTTGTACAAAAGAGATGACCAGAGGCCCCAACCAGCCTGCTGTTAGGGACACCAGGCAGGGTCAGAATTCTGATAAAAGAACACAACTGCAGATAAACCTTAGATACATAAGAGCTCCCGCCAGCTGGATGGTCCCAAAAGGTAGTACAGCTACTGACATACTGCTGGATACTCTCTCACTGGTTTATTTGGGAGAGAGGGAAAGCTGCCAGGATAAGAATCATCTAAAGCTGTGTGCTTCTCAAACTGGGAGTGTTCTGGAAAGTATGTAATGTCTTGAGATTTCCTGGGGTATCAACTTTACTTCTGAAGATTTAGGTGATAAATATCTTTTTAATTTAAAAAGAGCACTATGCTATCTCAAAGACAAACACAAGACATCCAAAGAAATTCTGAAAATGCATCAAGATTCACACACCACTGCTGCCTCCCCTACACACTGTGGGGTATACATTTACTGTATGTCCTTAAATGAACTTCGGTGGGTGAGTTTTAGAGCACTGATGGGCCAGCTTTGACAGGGACGTTCCACTGCATCCCAAGTCCCATTACTTGGCAATGATTAAGTACAGATTCTTATTGCTTTTCAGATTGAGGATATAGTTGCGTGTGGGATGATACTCAAGATAGAGTCACAAAAATTAGACTCAAGTAAAACCTAGAATATAATGTTGTAGAAGTGTCTCCTCAAAGTGTGCAGCCAGTGTTTCCCATAATAAATAGTTTTGCCTCCAGTCCTCCTCCCTCACATCAGAAACAGTGTTAGGATATAGTTTCGACGAACAGCCAGTTGTTATGCGATTACAGAAGAAGGAAATGCATGATTACAACCTGGGGGTGGGTCAGCTGTCCTAAACCAAAATCTAAGGCTGCTTTTATAACACTGGTTTAATTTTTCATGCAATTGTTTCATGTAAAGCTTGTTTGTGTACAAATCTTACATGGGTCTAATATTGTATTTTTTGAAGTATTACTTGTGATTCATTTAGTAGGCTGAGAAACCAGTGAAGTGCTTCATAGGTAGAATTTTTTAAATGACATACAATAAAAGATTAAATATCAGAGAAAGTCATATAACAGGGGCTGGCCATTTAGCTCACTTGGTAGAGCATGGTTTAAAACAAACCAGAGTAAATCTGCAACAAAGACAGAATGTGTAGTATGATCCCATTTTTGTTTTAAAAAAGAAAAAACAACCCTGATATGTTTGCATATATTTTTATGAGTCTGTATAATTCTATTTCAAAAGTAGGGAAGGGAAGGATATATAGTATATTAAACTTTTAACACAGTTACATCAGGAGCACAGGATTGAAGCAGACATACAGAAAAAAAAATTTATTCCAATTATTTATTGCAATAGTGACCTTTAAGAATTATTTTCTCAAGGTCGAGGGTTCAGATCCCCTACTGGCCAGACACCAAAAAAAAAAAAAATTCTTTTCTAGCTTATCTTTTCTGGTTCTGATTCCTTTATCAATTTTCTTATCACTTTAGCACTTTAGCACTAAAACCACATACATTCTGTTACCTACTCATTCATCCATTCATTGAACAGTCATTGTACTAAGCTCCTAGGGAACAAATACCACTGAGTACCTGCCTTAAAAAGAATTTGATCTAGTGGGAAAGGCAGACATATAAATAGTTAATTAAAAATAATGTGGTAAAGGGTAGAATTATGAAGTCTTAAATAACAAGCAAAAGTCAGTCAGGCAATAGGGTGGTCAGTAGGACATTAGAGGCAAAGGAGACATTTTGGCCCCAAACTGCCACTCTAAAACCCTGTCAGAGGTAAGAAACAGCATATAAAAGTGTTTATAGAGCATATAAGGGATAAGGCTAGAAAAGTGAGCAGGACCAGATCAAAGAAATGCTTTGAAGTGCTGTTTCCGAAGTGCTGTTAAAGCACATCAGCTATCCTGAGGAGAGTAACTGAAAGATTTGAAGCAAAAGAAAAATTTAGTTGATTTGGCTTTTAGACAGACCACTCTGGGGGCTATATGGAGGATGGGTTTAAGGAGACATAACTTGCGGCAGTGACTTAGTTCTATATCACAAACATGCATCTTTTAAAAAATAAGTGCCCTTTCTTTGTGGGGTAGGTACTTCATGGCTCTTTATTCTATCTCCCTCATCAACTATGTCACAGATTGGGGTGGACAGACTGAGACATCACATCCTAGAAAGTGTCTTACAACCTTTGAGGACCACCTCCCCAACCCGGCTCTCTCACAGCATTTTTAAACCTTTTTTATGGCACTTAATACATTCTCCCCTGCATTTGCTTTTACTGTACATAGGTCTTACCTCTCCAGTCTGAAAACTAACTGCACCACTAGATTTTTTATATTTCCACAGTACTCAGCACAATGTCTTTGGAAAAAATACTGCTTAACAATAACTCTCAGATCTAAGTTTATAATCCTAACTTCTCTTCTGAGTGCTAGACTACATTTCCGATTGCTGGGAAGATGTTTCCACCTGCATGTCCTGTAAGAATCTCAAACTTAACCTAATCCAAATGGATCTGGGTATCTCCCCGCCCTCTGCCAAACCAGTCACGCTTTCATTTCATATTTCGGTATTTATTCATACCCTGAGTCACCTTTGTTCACTCTCCATTATCTGCCATAAACACTCAGCTGCTAAATGCTGTGCACATTTCTTCCATTTCTCTCTCTTCCATTGCCCTTGTTCAAGCTCTGAAACGCTTCTCTGCTTCTCCCTACAGCCCCCGCCCCCACCAACTAAACCTATATAATAGCTATCAGGATTATCTTACTAAAGCAGAGATGTGATCACTGTCATTTCCTACCTTCAAGTGGCTGAAAACTCCACAAAGACAAGGATCATGCCCACTTTTACCCAGAGCAGTATCCCAGGGCCCAAGATTACCGGCCCATAACTGGCACTCAAGGATTTACTGAATGAATGCTCCTTGTCAAAAGTCTCAGTGAAGCTCCACTCCATACAGAGTAAAAGTAAACTCTGAGACATTCAGGCCCTAAGTTATCTTTTCAATCCTAGCTCTTACAATGTCCCTCAGGTTTTCCTAAATGCCTGGTAACAAACTTTCGTACCCATTTGGATTTCTGCCCCATTCCCTCTCTCTTGCTTATCGATGCTGAATGGATCACTGTGCCTGCCAAGTAAAAGAATTTGTTCTTCTCCCCATTTCTTGTGTCCTCCATCTTCTCTACCCGATGGTGATGCCAGCACAGCTGGGACCGCGTCTTTGTGCCCAGCATTCCTAGGCCAGTGCCAGGCCCACCAGAGGCGCTCAGTAACTGACATGAACCAGCGAATTACTGAGTGAACTGGTTTTTCTCAGCAGGCATCCTCCCGGTCACGGAGAGGGGAGAGGCGGGAGGTGCAGGTGGGCTGGAGAGGAGCAGTGACTGGCTTTTCGGGGGTTGTTGTAAATTGAACACAAAACACATGCTGAAAAGAGTACAAATCATAACGGTTCGGCTGGCGAAATTTCACAATAAAAACACACTCGTGAAACCAGCACCTAGATCAAGAACCAGAACATTCATTACCAGCCCCTAAAAGTCTCCCCGTGCCCTTTTCTTTGAGAGGCTCCTTCAACCCTCAAAAAGCCAGAAAGCGCAAGTCCTGGGTCCTCTGGCCGTACTGAGAGACGACCAAGACCGGTCAGAACAGTCCAAGGAGTGGGTAAAGGATCCTCTTACCGATGAACTTGAAGCGGCTCATGACAGGAACCCTCACTCCTCCCCGGCCGAAACGGAAGTGGATGTCTGCGGCGCAGCTCTTCCGGCCGCCTCGCCCCGCCCCTCGGCCGACGACATCCGGTTCCGCGGCAGCCCCCGCGACCGCTGAAGGGGAGCGGGCAGTCATGGCGTTTTCGGCGCCGGGAGCCTACCTGACTCACCAACAGAAGGTGTTGCGACTTTATAAGCGGGCGCTGCGCCACCTCGAGTCATGGTGCATCCACAGGTGGGAGCGGGGGAATCCAGGGCTCGGGGAGGTGACCCTGGGGGCTCCTGTAGAGTCTGAAAAGGCCCGGGGGACCGGACGGCTCAAGGCCTTCGGGGACGGCATTGGAAGCCGGCCTGTCGCCCCGCAGAGCCCCCTCCCCCGCCGTAGACTCGGGTTCGAATGCAGACTTCGCCGCCCATAGCTGTGAGATCTAGTAGAATTGCTTTTCTGGTCTAGGCCCGGTGTCTTCAGTAAAAAAGTATGCAGGACCCAGAGCAGAAGGCTGCATGAAGATTAAGTGAAATGAAGGAAAGTGCCTAAAACATAATTGTCATGGGTCCAGGGGTCACTGAATAATCTCTCCATGTTCTTCTCGCTCCCAATATTACAGTAACAAAGTATGAATTTTTTTTTTAGCCTTATTTTACAGTTTAGGGGATAGGCACAGAGTAAATTGCTCATGGACATACAGCTAGTAAGTGGCCGAACCGGGATTAAAATTTAGATGTTTGACTCCACACTCCCATCAGTTTTTCTCTTTTTAGCTTCGTCCTTTTTATTACCTTCACATCTTTGTCATCTCCCACATAATTCTCTTCTTTTCTCCTCTATGCATCTGAGACCAGTCTTAGAACATAGTGTTAAAATATATAGATTTTCATGATCTAAATGCAATGCAAAGTGGGGTGACAACGTAAGATGTGTGAATGCTAGGACTCCAGTCTCTTATCAGAATCCTAAAACCTAGTCCCAGGAGAAGGGCTTCTGGGAAAAACCTCTAAGCGATGGAAAACTGAGTAGGCCTGGAAGAGTTGCAGAGGGTATCCTTGAAGCCCAGATTACATTATTTGTCATTTTTGGAAGGCTGTCGACATACTTCTTTGCTAGGCAGGAAGATGGCCAGGTACAGGGTCATAGGATTATTAGTTTCTTCCCTGAGCTTTCCCTATTTATTCATTTGACAGAATTTTCAATTTAGGTTCTATGCTGGATGCCAAATAAATCTTTTTGGGGGTTACAGCAGCTAATGGGTTAGTGGGGGAAATGGACAGATAAACAAAAGATAACAAAGAGAATTATCAGTCTTAATGATGAAGGAAGTCAAGCCATCAAGAATCCAGGTAAAGCTGAACTACCACTGGGAATATTAAAGTTCATAGTCATGGAGGAAATGATAAAACTAGCTATTATGACAACATTGGCTCAGCATTTTTAAGTCTCACATCTTTTCTCAGTCCTTGTCTGAATTTCTTCCTCCATTTGCCCTCACAGTGCTATTTATTCTCTATGGTTCTATCTTAGGCCATGTATTGCTGTATGTACTTTGGACAGCCTTGTTTTATGCTGGGACTCGAGTTACCACCAATGCTCATTTGTCTCTATAGTGTTAGGTTCGGCGAGATGGAGAAAGGGGAGAGAGAGACCCGAGCCAGGTGCTATTTCAGCCAAAAAGCTTTATTCCACTAACAAGGAGGGGAGACTGAGCCAGATCAGTTCCCTCGAACAAAGGAAAGCAGGGGTTTATAAGCCTTTGAGGGTCTGACAGAGTAATGGGCAATTTCGAAATCAGTGGTTTGCAAGGTGACAAAGCCCTTGTAGTCTGCTAACATCTGGTCGCTTAGGGCATAGGCTTCTAATTAGTGTTGCTGCTATATCAGTGCAAAGCACTTCAGCCCGAAGCCTGTTCCTGCAGCCCACAAGACATTCCTTTGATGATAAAGGTCATGTTTACCCTTTCCCAGGGGAGGAATTTCGCTGCTCAGTTTTTAGAGCAGAGAAGGGAAAGGGCGGGGAGAGAAGGGTGCAAAGTTGCTTTACCTGGCTGTGCTGATGTTAAGCTAGCCATGAGGCCTAATATATAGTGGTATTTCTAATTGTTTGTTAGATTGCCTGTTGTTCTCTGAAACTCAACTTGTCTAAATTCTTTAAAACCAGACTCATTTTCTTTTCAGTCTCCCATTTTGATTATCTTCCCAAATTCCCTGCCTCAGCTAATGGCATTTTATTAGCAATTCAGTTACTAAGCTTTAAATCTCAGAATTGTTCTCAAGTATTCCCTACTTACCTCTCTGCTGATTACACACATACTAATACTCCATGTATGAGTATGATTTTTGTGAATTCTCTCTCCAGTGTAATAATATTAGTAACTGACATTAATGAGCACTTAAGATGTGCCAGGCACTTTGTGAAGTGTGTTTATGTGTTTTAGCTCATTGAATCTTTATGACAACCTTGAGATATAGACACTGTTATTAACACTTTTATAAAGGAGGAACCCCTGGCCTAGAGACACTAAGTAACTTACCCTAGATTACACAGCTAGTAGTGGCAGAGCTAAGATTCAGGTGCATGCAATCTACCTTGAGAGGCCACTCTCATAATTTGGTAGTCTGAATGTCTCTCCTACTTCCTGTCACCAACACAGCTGCCTGCTTCAGGCCCTTGTGATCTGTGTCCTGGCTTATTGTCACAGCCTCCTAACTGATCTCTGCCCATCATTTCTTCAGAACCTGACTCTAGGGCTCAATTGGTTAGAATGCAACCTTGTAACACCAAGGTCAAGGGTTCAGTTCCCTATACCAGCCAGCCACGAAAAAGAAAATGTAAAAAATCAGAAAAAAATAATCTGTAGAACCTGATTCTAACTTATCTAAGGTCGTGCAGCTAGTATCAGAGTCAGGATTCAAATCCCGGCCTATCTGATTGGAACATAGTTTCCACTATGTAACACCTCCCTTCTTAATCAACTTTATATCTCCAAATTTTAGCCCAGTGCCTAGCACAAGATAGGAGGAAATTCAGTAAGAATGTTGAATGATCCTACAGAACCAAAGCTTTTCTCTTTTGCTAATTCTCCTTTTTCTTTTAAATCATCATTACTTTGTTAGAAAAGCAAGGAGAAAAGTGGTTAGGCTATATTTTTCACCTGCTGATGTTTGGAGGGCTGCAGAGGAAGCAGTCATAATGATATGGCTACTCCATTGGCAGAGTTGGGAAGGTGCCAAGAAGTTAAACTATTCATCCAGAAGGTGTTAGTGGGAATACAGCCTCTTGTCAGTGATACTGTCCACTTAAATAAATAATATTTCCTATCTCCAAAATCATTTTGGTTTAAGGGACAAATACCGGTACTTTGCGTGTTTGATGAGAGCCCGATTTGATGAACATAAGAATGAAAAGGATATGATGAAGGCCACGCAGCTGCTGCGGGAGGCAGAGGAAGAATTCTGGCATTGTCAGCATCCACAGCCATATATCTTCCCTGACTCTCCTGGGGGTACCTCCTTCGAGAGATATGAGTGCTACAAGGTAAGTGAGGATTACAGTGGCGGCTGCCTTCTGACCGCTTTCTGTTTCTCCGGTCCTAAACCTCAGCCTTATAAACCACTTGCCCTTTTTTTTTTTTTTTAAAGATGACCGGTAAGGGGATCTTAACCCTTGACTTGGTGTTGTCAGCACCACGCTCAGCCAGTGAGC